TGGGATCTCCTCGGAGCGCTCTCGGGGGCCTCTTGGGGACAGTTTTGGGGGCCTCGTGGCAGCCTCCTGGGGGCCTCTTGGGGCCTCATGGGGGCCTCTTGGGGCCTCTTGGGGGACTCCTGGAGTCTCGTGGGGGACCTTCGGGGCCAGGGCCTCGAAGTGTTCGTTCGGGTCCCCCATTCCTCCTCCTCCTCGTCCTTCTCCTCCTCCTCCTCCTCCTCCTCCTCCGCCTCCTCCTCCTCCTCGTCCTCCTCCTCTTTCTCCTCCTCCTCCTCCCACATGCAGTTGCATGCATCGCCGCCGCAATTTCTGCGCCCCCTCTTGGAGCCATATTTGGAGCCTCTTGCGGAACCTCTAGGGCCGCCCGGGAGAGTTGGGAAGCCGAGGAAGCGAGAACGCCCAAATCCTGCAAAAACCGGTTGAAATCAACGATTTTGCACTATTGGGGGGCCTCTCGGAAGCCTCTTGGGGCGCCACTTCGGCCGTCTATGGGCCATCTTGAGCGTCGTCGAGCGATCGTTCGGCGACTCCGGGCCCTCTTGGACCGTCTTCGTGTCTCTTGGGGCCCTCCTGGTCCGTCTTGAGGAACAAATCATGCGGGAAGCCGCGAGAAACCCCAGGTGAAGCGCGCCAAGCCCAAAGAGATTTGTGAATTTGGGGTCCAGGCCCCTTGATAGCCTTGCGGATCGAGGACTGAGGCTCAGGGTATTCGGCAATCGATCTGCGAGGGTCCCGGGGCCCGAAAACTGGCGAACACGCCCGTGGTGCAAACATTCCACCAGACCTCTGGGCGTAGGAGGTCCATGAAGGCTCCTCTTCCAACCTCCTTCTCCCCCTTGGGTAAGGAGTTTACCCTTCTTCCACTTAGTAGAGGGTTTCACCCCTCCCCCTTACCCCCCTCCCCTGGACCTGGACGGAATGGAGCGTCCAAGATGGCCCAAGACGGCTCCAAGAGCGCCTCAGAGAGCCCAAGATGACATCCAAGATGGCTCAAGATAGCCCAAGATGCTTCAAGATGGCTCAATAACATTCCAAGACGTCGCCAAGTAGCCAACGAGCCTCCCAAGGAGGCCCCGAAGAGGCCACAATCCTTCCAAAACCTGAGGAAAATCAATGTTTGTTGTTTTCTCGCCTTTTCGCTTTCAGTGGCCATCCGAGGCCTCAAGATGGCCCAAGAGGCCCCTAGAGAAGCCCCAGAGAGTCCCAAGACGGCCTCAAGAGCGCGCAAGTTCGCTCCAAGAGCGCCCCCAGGGCGATTTCAGGCACTCTAGAAGGGCAAGGCGAATTGAAGCTCCCTTCTGTTTTGATCGATGTCTCCCAAGATGGCTCGAAGAGCACCCCCGAAGCTCCCAAGAGCACCCAAAGAGGGCCCCAAGAGACGCCCAGACGGATCCAAGAGGCGCCGAATCCTTCAAGAGGCTCCAGAGAGACTCCCAAGAGGCTTCAAGGGAATTCCCGAGGCACCCACGACTCTCAAAGACGGCCTTGGGCCCGCCAAGATGCCCCCCCAGACGCTCCAAGAGGCTTCCAAAACAGTTTCTTAGCGACACCCGACGAGATTCCGAGAGGCATTCATGAGGTTTCTGGCTCTTCTGTTCGCCCTTTTCTTCCTTCTCCTGCTCCTCTTGCTCCTCCTCTTCCCCCTCCTCCTCCTCCTCCTCCTCCTCCTCCTCCTCCTCCTCCTCCTCCTCCTCCGCCTCCGCCTCCGCCTCCGCCTCCGCCCTCCTCCTCCTTCTCCTCCTCCTCCTCCCTCCCTCCTCCTCCTCCTCCCTCCTCCTCCTCCTCCTCCTCCTCCTCCTCCTCCTCCTCCTCCTCCTCTTCCTCCTCCGATTCCTCCGGTTCCTCCTCTTTCTTCCCTTTGTTGGGGTACGAGGGTTTCTCCATCCGTGCGTTCCTGTGTATGAAAGAGCGCGCTCGTGGCACATTCCTCACTTAAGGGGGGGCCCCAGCCTCAAGGTACACCCCCCTCCCTTGGAAAGGGGGGGGGTCTTCGAAGCTGCCCCCCCCCCCCCCTCCCCCCCTTGTTGTGGGTGTGGGTAGTTGTTTAGCTGGGGGCGCTCTTGCTAAATGGAAGGGGGCTTGGAAGCTACCCCCCCTCCCCCCTTTTGGGGCCCGGGGTGAGCCCGGGCTCCCATTTCAAAGAGGGGGGGAGCTTCCGAAGCTACCCCCCCTCCTCTTGTTTGGATTTTGTAGCTGGGGAATCCCTTGCTAAAGGGGGGGGGGGGCCCGAAGCTACCCCCCTATCCTTCTCGGGGCCCGGCTAGGGTAAGCCCAGGCTCCCCATTCCTAGGGGGGAGGGGCTTCCGAGGCTCTCCCCCCTCCTTTCCTTCTATTGGCGTTTCCAGATGGAGGGCCCTAGCTGAGGAGGGGGATTCGAAGCTACTTTTCTTATTTGATTTTCGGTGCCCCGTTCGTTTTCGGCGTACGTGGGGTTTTCGGCGTCTCTTTGTTTTACCTCGCCTCTTTAGTTATCGGCGCCCCTTGGGCCTTTGGCGCCCCTTTGATTGTCGGCGCTCCTTTGGTTTTCGGCGCCTCTTGGGCCTTTCGGCACTCCTGTGGTTTTCGGCGCCCCTTTTGTATTCGACGCCCCTCTTGGTGCTCTGCGCACACTTTGGTTTTCGGCGCCTCGTTTTGTTTTCGGCGCCCTCTTGGGTTCCAGCGCTCTTTTGGTTATCGGCGCCATGTTTGTTTTCGGCTCCCTTTTGATTTTCGGCGTCCCTTTTTTCCGGCGCCATGGTGGTTTTCGGCGCCCTTTTGGTTTTGGGCGCCTTTCAGCTTTCGGCGCGCCTTTCTTTGGTTTTTGGCGCACTTTGGTTTTCGACGCCCTTTTGGTTATCGGCGCGTCCCTGGTTTTTCGGCGCCTGTTGGTTTTCGGCGCATCGTTGGTTTTCGGCGCCCCTTGAGTTTTCGGCGCCTCTTTTACTTTCGGCGCCCCTTTGGTTTTCGGCGCTCCTGCGGTTTTCGACGCCCGTTTGGTTTTCGGTGCCCTTTTTTGTTTTCGGCGCGTCCTCGGAGCTTCTGTTCTTTTCGGCGCCCCTTTCGTTTTCGGCGCCCTTTTGGTCATCGGCGGCCCTTCGGTTTTTCGGAGCCCTTTTGGTTTTCGGCGCTTGTTTTCGACGCCCCTTTGGTTTTCGGCGCTCCCTTGGGTTTTCGGCGCCCCTTGGGTGTTCGGCGCCCTTTTGGTTATCGGCGCCCCTTCGGTTTTTCGGCACCTCCTTGGTTTTCGGTGTTCTTTTGGCGTTCGGCGCCATTGGGGTTTCCGGCGCATCTTTGCCTTTTGGCGATCTTTTTTTATGGGTTCGGCGTTTTTTTTGGTATTCGTTGGTTTTCGGCGCCCCGTTGGTTTTCAGCGCCCTTTCGGTTTTCGGCGCCCCTTTGGTTCTCGGCGCACTTGTGGTTTTCGGCGCCCCTTTGGTTTTCGGCACTCCTGTGGTATTCGGCACCGTTTTGGTTTTCGGTGCCCTTTTGGTTTTCGGTGTACCTTTGGTTTTCGTCGCAGTTTTGGTTTTCGCTGCCCTTTTGATTTTCGGCGCTTCTTTCGATTGTCTGCGCCTCGCTAGTTTGGGGTGTCCTTTCAAGTTCGGTGACCCTTTGGGGTCTCGGTGCTTTTTGGTTTTCGGTACCCGTTTGGTTTTCGGCGCTGCTCTGGTTTTCGGCGCTCTTTTGGTTTTCGGCGCTTCTTTGGTACAGTCAACCCGCATAGGAAGGATAGGCAACCTTCTCAAAGGTACCCGTGCATTCTTGCCTCCTCGGTCCATCCTTCGCCGCTTTCGCTGGCCGCGCCCCGCTCGAAAGCTTCGAAATGGGCGTCCAAGGCCCTTGCATCCTTATCGCGCATCATTACTATACTGGTTGACTGTATTCGGCGTTCGTAAGGTTTTCGACGCGTTTTGGTGATCGGCTCCCCTTTGCTTTTCGGCGCTCTTTTGATTTTTCGGCGCTGCTCTGGTTTTCGGCTCTATTTTGGTTGTCGGCGCCCTTTTGGTTTTCGGCGCCTCTTTGGTTTTTGGCGCTCCTTTCGTTTTCGACTCTCCTTTGGTTGTCGGCGCCCTTCTGGTTTTCGGCGCACCTTCGGTTTTCGGCGCCCTTTGGGTTCGGCGTTCCTTCGGTTTTCGGCGCGCCTCTGGTTTTCGCACCCTTTTGGTTTTCTGTGGTTCTTTGGTTTCCAGCGCTCTGTTGATTTTTGGTGCCCTTCGGTGTTCGGCCTCCCTTCATTAGCCAAGGAGGGGGGGGGGCTTCCAAGCCCCCCCCCCTCCTTAGCCCAAAAGGAGGGTGGGGTGGGGGGTGGGGGAGGGAAGGGCTTCTGGCAGGGGGGGTCTCAAAGGGGGGGGGGGTAGCCAAGCCCCCCCTCCCTTTGGAAGGGGGAGGGGGGGGAGAGCTTCCTGAGCGCGAAAGGGGGGAGGGGAGGGGAGCTTCCGAGGGGCGGAAGAAATGAAGGGATGGGGGGTGTAGTTTCCGGAGCGCGAAAGGGAGGGGGGGGGGTAGCTTTCGAGGGGCGCAGGGGGCTTCCTGGAGCGGAGGTCCAAAGGGGGGGCGCTAGCTGAGGGGGACCCCCTCCCCCCTTGGGAGTGTACTACGGGCGTGCTCTCTCTCTCTCTCTCTCTCTCTCCTGTATGTTCCCCCCACGTCCCTGATCATGGCAACTCGTCTGGGCATCGTCCCTGGATGGGCTGCCCTGTCCGCCTATTCCGCCTCCCTCCTTCCTCCCCCTCCCCCTCCTCATCTTTCTCCTGCTCCTCCCTGTCCTCCGCAAATTCATCACCCTCTTCCTTCCATCCTCATCCATTTTCCTCCTCCTCCTCCTCCTCCCTCCTCCTCCCCCGAACGATAACGACTGTCCCCCATTTTGCTCCTACGCTTCCATGACCGTCTCAACTCGCCTGGGCGCCGGTTTGGGATGGGCGGGGATACGACGCGCAGCGTCGGGAAGTCGGCACGCTCGTGGCGAGGAGGACCCGGAACGCACGAGCAGACCCCTGGGCCAGGGACACCTCCGGCAGCGCCCGGCCCTCGGGGCGGCGCCGCACTGTCGGGACGCCTTCCTGGACTTCGTGCTGGACGTGGCCTTCGACGTCCGGGAGCACTACGAGCGGGTGCAGCGGCCCAGCCTGGCGCCGCAGCGCGCGGGGCCAGCGCCCGCCCCGGCTGGCTGGGGCCCCGCCGGTGCTCCGGGGCAGCGATCGTCACGGGCGCGAACACGTCGAGGTTCGAGGTTCTGGGGTCCAGGCTCTGGGTTCGAGGTACTGGGTTCCAGGTTCTGGGTTCGAGGTTCTGGGTTCGAGGTTCTGGGTTCGAGGTTCCAGGCTCAGGGTTCGAGAAGGCGTGTTGCTGGCTTCTTCGGCCTCTGGGGGCCGCTTTCGGGCCCCGTCGGTGCTCTGGGGCAGCGATCGGTGGTTGCTAGAGCGGGACGGTTGACATGGATACTGGAACAATGGGTACAACGACCAACAGAAAGTCTTGTTCATTCTGAACCGGGTTCGCTGTCGACGTCGCGGCCACTGTCGGTTTTGGACAACATTTGTTGTTGAGCAGCGTATCCATGTTTTCTGTACTCATTCAGGCGTCCAAACTAGAGGTGACTCGGTTCGATTCCGATCCCGATTCGATTCGGCTTCGGATTCCGCTTGTTGTCACGGGCGGCGAACATATCCGTATCCGCGCCCTCGCGGGCTGGATGCCAGGGCGCGATCCCGCGGATCCGCGGTCGCACGGATGCGTTTCGCGCGCGGCGTCCGCGAAGAAACGCCCCGTATCCGCGTGGTCGCAGGGGGCCTGGCCCGCGAGGCCGCGGATACAGATGTTGTTGTTTGAGGTGTCCATGTCCCTTCGGGGCTCATTCTGCTTCCTCGGGCTTGATTCGATTCGGTCTCGACCGATCCCGGTCCCGAGCCGAATCGGCCTCGGATTCCGGTTGTCGCCACGAGCGGCGAACACACCCGTGTGCGCGCCCTCGCGGTCGGGCTTCTCGGCCGCACGGGTGCGTTCCGCGCGCGGCGGCCGCGAAGAAACGCCGCGTGTGCGCGGGGTCGCGGCCCAGCGGCCCGGGCCGCGAGGCTTTGGCATCGCTCGGACGCGTGCACTTTTTCTCGGCGCGGATTATGAAGGAAGGAGCATCCTGGATCATCCTGCGAAAAAAACCACGCACGAAAGTCGAAAAAAGCACAGGGGATGGACGTCCGAGCGATGGGCAGAGGCCGCGGATACGGATCTGTTGTTGGACCACGGTTTTGCTGCAGGTGTCCCGTCAGCGCTCGAGTCGTTTGCTCCGACTCGATCCGATGCGATTCCGATCGATGGCGATCCAGATTCGATTTGGTTAACGGATATGTTTTTCGCCCACGGTGTTGCTGGAGGTGTTCCTTCAGGCTCATTTCGGGGCTTATTCCGCTTCCACCGACTTCGTTCGATTCGTTTTCGATCGATCAAGATTCCGATTCGATTGGGCTTCGGATTCCGGTTGTTGTCACGAGCGGCGAACACATCCGTATCCGCGCCTTGGCGCTTTGGATGCCAGGGTGCGATCCCGCGGATACGCGGTCGCACGGATACGTCCCGCGCGCGGCGTCCGCGAACGAATATTTGTTTCGCCCACGATGCTGTTGGGGGGTGTCCTTTCAGGGCTCATTTCGACTCCTGCGACTCGATTCGATTCGATGTCGACCGATGCCGATTCCGATCCGATTCGGTTTCGGATTATGGTTGTTGTCACAAGCGGCTACCACATCCGCGTCCGCGCCCTCGCGGTCTGGATTCGGGCCGCGAGGCCGCGGATGTGGACCTGTTTTTCGCCCGCGATGTTGTTGGCGGTGCCCTTTCAGGGCTCACTTCGACCCTTCCGTCTGTATTCCTTTCGATTCCGATTCCGGTTCGACTCGGCTTCGCTTTCCGTCATGGATGTCGGTTTCTCCATAGAGGCGTGATGAGCCTGCCGACTTTCGCCGATTTGACTACTCCCAACTTAGCGGCCGATTTCCGCCGATCCGATTCAATTCGATCTCTGATCCGACTGATCCATTCGGTTCTGGGTTCCAAGGGTCGAAGCATGATTTCTTGAGGCTCCGCGCGAATTTTGGATCGGCGCTGGGCCCCCCTTGCGAGCTCGGCACACCAGGGAGGGACATCCAGCGCCGATCCAAGATCTATGCACGGACCTCCGAGAACATATCTTTATGCCGTTTCTTATTCCTCTGAGGGCACCCCATGGTCTCCAAGGAGGCCCCCATGACCTCAGAGCACTCCTCGCGAGGCCCAGAGGACCCCAGGGGCTCCAAAATATGGAGCGCGAAAGCTGGGTACGCCTTGGGCCGCCGATCTATCGACGATGCACCGCCGATTCCGGGGCAGACCGCGACGACGAGGACGACGAGAGCGACGACGACGACCACGACGACGACGACGGCGACGATGAGGACCACGACGACCTCGACGACGACGACGTGGACCACGACGACATCGGCGACGACGACGACGTGGACGAGGACGACGACGAGGACGACGAGGACGACGAGGACGAGGACGCCCCCCTGAGAAGACAAAGTGTACGACGCAGTGAAGGATGCCGTCGCGTGCCTGAGCGAAGCAAGCACGGCAGGCAACGCGACGCGCAGAAGGAGATGCAAAGGAGGACCGAAGGTCCAGGAACCTATCGAGGACGGGACCACCAGCCAGTCTCCCCCTCTCATCCTCCCTCGCGAGGTGAACCAGAGCCGCTCGACGCTGCGCAGAGCTCGCCTGGGCCGCCGGCCCCGAGGCGGGCGGCAGTTCCCAAGACCCCCACGACGCCGTGAGAGGCACGCTGAAAACGCGCCGGTCGGTTTGGGGCAATTCTCGGCCTCTGGGGGCCCTCGGCGGGCCCCGGAGCCGTCAGACGAGGATGCGGGATGGAGGAGCGGTCCTCGGGAAGGGGCGCAGGCCTCCAGGGGTGCACGGTGCGAGAAAGAAGAAGCACGGCGTCTGTGTCCGGGAGGGCGGCGGTCGGAGAGCGGAGGTTGGAGGGTAGGGCGTTTCTTTGGGGGCGGAGGTTGGACGAGAAAGTCAATTATCGGGCTGGGAAGTCGAAGAGCACGAAGTGGCCTACAGTTGGCTCCGGGCATCCAAAATGTGGCCGGGGAATGGAGTTCTGGGAAGTCGAAGAGCACGAAGTGGCCTACAGTTGGCTCCGGGCATTCAAAATGTGGCCGGGGAACGGAGTTCTGGGAGGTCGAAGAGCACGAAGTGTGTGACTGTTTGCTTAAAACGAGCCCGGCCCTCGCCTGTCCGGCTCCCGCCCAGACCCCCTTGGGGAGTCATCAGATGCTCTCTTCTGACCCCATTAGAAACCTATCAGTCTTCGCTGTTAGGTAACAACTATCGGGCTGGGAGGATGGGGCTGGGAGAAAGGATCAGATCATCCCCATGGTCGCGTATGTTGAATGGGCTTATCATACCGTCACGCCCTGTATCTTCCCAGCCTCTTCCTCCCAACACGATGGCTGTCTTTCTCATTGGATGGCACAACGTTGCACTCCGGCTCAGCGATGCTCTCCACCCTCCCTGGTCGACGCCGCTTGGGTACAAGGAGCGTCCTCTCCCGCCGCCACACGAGGCTGGTGTACATGATGAGCCGTTGACGGCACCACCAACCACAGCATTTTGCTTCTTCCGGTACTTCGCCACCGTGTTCCTGTCCAAGGCGTCCCTTTGCAAGTACATCGTCTTCGGCATCACCTGATCCCGAGGCTCGGCCTCCTCCTGGCCTTGACGTGAGGCCTTTCTTCCTGGCCCCCCCTCTGCTAATTCAGGCTTCGCGCGGCCCGCTTAGCCTCGACCGGAAGAGGTGCGCTCTCGACCCGCGAGTCAAAAAATGTCTTTCTCATTGGAGGGTAGAGGGCGTGTTTCTCGACCGGAAGAGGTGCGCTCTCGACCCGCGAGTCAAAACATGTGTTTCTCATTGGAGGGAAAGAAACACACAGACACAATTAATCCTAGATTCCACAGAATGTATGGGAAAATATGGGAAGTGAGGGGGAAGGCAAAAACCCAGAAAATATATGGGAAAACATGGGGAATCTTTTTTTTATCTGTGTGTATTTCTCTGTGTGCCCCAGGGCCCCTTCATCACTGGAGGGTAGAGAGGGCGTGTTTGGAGGGCGGGCCCCGAGATCCGGGCGTCGCCTTCTGTCGCACAGGGGGGCGCTCTCGCCTCGGCCTCGGACCCCCCGAGGCCCCCGCGGGCCGATGCCGCTCGAGGAGCGACGCATCGCAGTGCTGCACGTTTCCCAGCCCTGCCGCGTGTTTGGGTGTCGTCTTGGATTGCAAAAAAAAAAAAGGATTGCAAAAAAACAGCAAAAACAACAAAAAAAACAATAAAACAAAAAAATCAAAACAAAAAAAAGAGCATCGCTCGCACGTCTCATCCATTCCTCCCGCGTCCTCTCTTTCCGTGCCTCCTGCCTCCCTGTTCGCCGCTTTCGTGGGCTCCCGGGGGGGCACGGCGGAGGTGAGGGTCGCGCAGATCACGTTGAGACCCTCGCGGCACCCTCGGGGGCTGCGAACTGCGCAGTTGTCGCCACTTTCGTGGGCTTCTGGGGGGCACGGCGGAGTCGAGGGCAACGCAGATCATATTGAGACCTCTGGGCTCCCTCGGCGGCTGCGAACTGCGCACTTGTCGCTACCTGCGTGGGCCCCGCAGATGATTTTGAGACTTCGCAGCTCCCTCGGGGGGTGCGACCTGCGCGACTGTCGCCAGTTTCGTGGGCTCCTGGGAGGCAGGGTGCAGTGCAGGGCGCCCACACGGCGCGTGCCCACATGGCGCGTGGCACCGTCTCGTCATGTACCGCGCGGCGCTGTCGCATTACAGAACGCAGAGTGCTGGAGCATCACGTAGCTCATGGCGCTCTCCTCGGTGGCCCACTTCACCCCCCCTTCATTAGGTCTAAGGTGCCTGTCGCCCGCAGCAGCAGCAGCAGCAGCAGCCACAGCAGGGGTGAACCGAGCAGATGTGGCGCATGGCGCTGTTACTTCCACAAGTATTGGTTCCCCTTCCGTCTCCAGCATCCTTGTCGACCTCCCCACTCTTCCTTCTCATCCTCCACTTGTGTTCCCCTTTCTATGTTCCTGGTCGTGCTTGACGTCGCCGTCCCTTTAGCGATCTGCGTTGCGCAGGTGTACGACGCGCGTGGCCCAACATTGTTCGGCGAAGGGCTGTTGCTGTATATCTCTCAATGTTTGTGTATGTAGCGTTCATATAGATAGTCGCCTCGCGTGGAGAGGGGTTGGGCACGTCTCGGGTGATTGTTCGGGGGGGTCCGAGACTTCCATGTGGGCGTCGGTTGGACCCAACAATTTCACATGAGGCCGGAGCAGATAGGGTCAAAGGGTCGCGCCACATCGCCGATGCATCGGCGATGCGGCACAATTTGGAGCCCGTTCACCTACGTCCTGACGTCGCTGGTGCATCGGCGATGTAGCGCGATCCTCTGTTCTGCCCCATCTGCTCCAGGTCCGAATCTGGGGGGCCTCCAGGACGGATGGCGGAAGTCGGAGGGTGTGAGGGCGGAGGTTGGAAGGTGGGAGGTTGGCGGGCGGAGGGTGTTAGGCGGAGGTTGGAGGGCAGAGGGAGGAGGGTGGAGGCTGGAGGTGGGAGGGTGTAGGGCGGGAGGGTGGAGGCGGAGGTTAGAGGTTGGTGTTTGTAGGGCGGAACTCGAAGGCTAGATGGTGGAGGGTGGAGGAGGGGACACCGAGGTGGGCGGCAGTTGGAGGAGGGGCCACACGTTGAAAACGAACCGCCCTCAATCCGTGAAGCTCGTGCAATTGATTACAACGAATGTGCGCGGCGCTAAGGCGAGAGCCGCATGTTGAAAACGACCCGCCCTCAATCCGTGAAGCTCTTGCAAATGTTTAAATTGAATGCGTGCGGCGCTTTTGGCGAGAGCCGCATTTCAAAAACGAGCCGCCCTCAATCCGTGAAACTCTTGCAAAACTAGTGTGCGCGGCGCTAAGTCGAGGGCCACATGTTTAAAACGACCCGCTCTCAATCCATGAAAGTATTGCAAGTGATTGCAACGAATGTGCGCGGCGCTAAGGCGAGAGCCACATTTTGAAAACCACCCGCCCTCCATCTGTGAAATTGTTTTCAATGTTTGAGCATCAGGGTCATAAGCAGTGAGGAGGACTAAGGCGAAACGCCCGACCTGCCCTTTCGACTGGCCTCGGGGTGCGACAGGGAGGAGGTATCTAGAAGGAAAAGGAACGGAAAGGGAGGAGGAGGAGGAGGTGGAGAAGGAGGAGGAGGAGCCCTTCCTCGCCTCTTCTTCCCTCCCCTCCGCCCTCTCCTCACACAGCCACCTCTTCCCCTCCTCCCCTGGCCCCGCCCCTCCACGGTAGGCCTGGCCTTTCGTTCCAGTGCGAAGCGGAGGCAGGGGAGGGTTCTCCTCTTCTTCCTCTTCCTCCTCCTCGTCCTCCTCCTCCTCGTCCTCCTTGTCCTCCTCGTCCTCCTCCTCCTCCTTTTCCTCCTCCTCCTCCCTTGGCACTGCCGCGCGCAGGGCGCCGCCGGTACCGAGCAGCCCTATCGCCGGCTGCTAGCCAGGGTGTTCGTCCTCGCTAGCAACCGACGGTACCAGGCTGCGAGTTGGGGATTCCCCAGGTAACAGATGCCCCCTTCTAGCGACCCCTCTTCCGCCCAGGGGCTCTGCAGAGGCGGCCCGCTCGCAGTCGTGGCGGTTAGGTCCGCGATCCTCCCTCCTCCCTCCTCCTGGGGTGGAAGACGAGGAGGGGAGGGCGGCCCTGATAGCCAGAGGTCGATGCCAGGGATCGGGTGTTGTGCACGGGGCTACCCCCGTGCCACGAGGCACCTGTCCTCGGATGTGGCCACGGTTCTCGTCATCCTGAAGTCGTTCGTGGGCGGCACCCTGCTGGTGGTCCCGAGGGAGTTCCTGCGGGCGGGGGTCCTGTCCGGCACAGTGCTGTTCTGGGCCGTCGGGCTCCTGGAGCTCTGGTGCATGCTGAAGCCCGAAGGGGAAACAGCTGCGTAGGCCTAAGCTGTCAGGGGTCCGCGCGGATCTCTGGGGTCGGCGCTGGGCCCCGCCTGGCGGCGCCGCCGCTGCTGCCCCATGGCGCGCTGCGCGCGCCATGCAGCGCCGACCCAAGAAATCCGCGTGGGTCTTCGAAGATGCACGCGTGTGCCGTTTTTTCCTCTTCCAGAAGCTGCTGCAGGCACACCAGCAAAGGGGCGGCTCCCTGGGGACGCTGGCCCGCCTCGCGCTGGGCGCCGCGGGGGCCGCGGCGGTGGAGTGCTCCGTCGTGCTGTCGCAGCTGGGCTTCGCTGCCGCGGAGATGATCTACGTTGCCAGGAACGGAGCTTCGGCGCTCGAGTGGTTGTCCGAGAACTCGCCCGCTGCATCCGCTTGGCTTGGCGAGGTCGACGTGGCGGGTATGACGGCCACGCTCACATGGCTGCAGCTACTTTTCATCGTGCCGGCGTCTTGGTACAGGGAGCTGAGCGCTTTCACTGTCTACAACTTCGTGGGCAACGTGCTCGTGCTGGGCACCGTGGTGTTCTTGTCCAGCATCACCGTGACCGGGCTGGCGCGTGAGGGCATGTCTCAAGATTGGGAGCTTGGTTGTCCCACGAAGCAGGCCCTCGTCTTCCTGGGTTTTTCTACTTATGCATTTGAGGGTATTAATATGGTTATCCCGATGTACCGGGTGCACAGGGACAAGAACACGTTCGCTGGTTTGCTTGTCGCAACGATCGTTGGGATCATCATGTTGTTTTCTGTGTTTGCTTGTTCCAACGTCTTCCTTTACGGGCAGTCAGTGAAGCCGATATTGACGCTGAATTTGCCACAGAAGTCAGCTGCCGCTGGGCTAGTACCACTCGCATTCTCCCTCGCTTCGCTGGTGCTCGTGCCCCTCATGGTGTTCCCGACGTTCGAGATTCTCGAGGCCCCCCCTTCCGCATCCCCCTCCCGCAAGACTCATGACGCCCGACGTCGCGCAAAAGTCACGGCGTCTTGAAAACATTACGATTGCAGCTATCAACCCCATATGTGTGCGGCATGTCTCGGGCCAGATCGATCCGTGAGGGCCCAAGGGCCCGAAACGATGCAAGGGCGCCCGTGATGTGATTTGCCCACAGCGCCTTGATCTGAGGATCTTGGTCTTGCCCCCTGGCCAGAATCTGTTCAAAGGGCCCGAACACGCCGAAAACAAGCATGACCCCTTTCCCTCCAGGACTCGCTTCCTTCACGCTGGCTCCCGATCCCTCCACCTCCTCCTCCTCCTCCTCCTCCTCCTCCTCCTCCTCCTCTTCCTCTCTCGGCCCCCCGGAGTCGACAACAGGCGCGAATAGCCCAGGGGCCAGGCATTACACGTGTTCGTGTTTGGGAGCCTCGTCGGGCATAGGCGGGCGATCACAGTTATTGGTACGTGTATGCCGTGGATGGAGATAAGAACGCGGAAGCCAGTCATAACGTTGGAATATCACCATTCGAAGGCCGCGAGTTCCCGGTCGGGCAGGGTCGGCGATTGCCCCTGGAAGTGTTACATGTACACGCGAACATCGGAAACATGTTTGCAAGCTGCGGTCGTTGCTGCCTGCGTCGTGCTCCACCTCTTGGAGTAGCGCAGCTCCAAATGTTACGAATTCGGTTTCGCGCTAATGTTTGGCATCCACGGCTCAGCGTGTCGCCTTGGCTATCCGTACATGCTGCAGCTCCCGATCCCCCCCTCCCCCCAGGGGCAAAGTCAGGGGGGAATAGCTTCAGGGGGGAACGCGCATCGAGCCCCAATCGCCCACTGATCGCCGATAGGGGGCCGATAGCCCACACCGCCCAGGAGCGTGCGGATTCGCTATCGGGGGCGCATCCCCGCTCTATCGGTGATGTATCGCCGACTGCAGGTCAATGTTCCCCCCCTGAGCCGGTCCCCCCTCATGTACCCCTTGCCCCCTTCCCCTTCCAGCCCGATCCAATTGGATTCCTACGTTCCCACGCGGCCCGATGCTTGAGAGGCGCCGTTGTGCATCCTGGCGCAGCCGATCCGAGTCAGGTTTCGGCCCCGTGCCGATGCGACAAGGTCTGACGCCCATTCCGATTCGATCCGATGTCCCGATTCGATGCTCTCTGATCCCATCTCCTCCCTCCTGCCCCCCCCCCCTGAACACGCGAACTCGTCATGCCACCGTCCGACGACAACCTACCCCCCCTCCTCCCAGAGGGCGCTGGCGCCGCCAAAGCAGCAGCAGCAGCAGCAGCAGCTTCAGCAGCAGGCCAGGCGTGACACCCTCGAGCCCCCGCTCGCGAGCCCCGGCACTCCGTGGCCGCCTGCCCCCTTCTCGTGGCACGCCGGCGGGGGGCGCAGCAGCCCCCCTCCAGCAGCGCAAGCTTGAGTTTGCGTGCCTCCGCGAGGGCGCCGCGAGGCGGGGCTGCGGCGCTCTCCTGGTGGGCAGCCCCGCGAGAGTCAACGCCCTGCGCGGCGCCGTGGTGCTGCTGTGCGCCGTGGTGGCGCGCGAGGGCGGCGCCTACCTGGACGTCTTCCTGTCCCTGGTAGGCGCTCCCTGGGGGGGGGGGGCGAGGAAGGTCGGGTCGAACGAGATGAGGGAGGGGGGGGGGGGGGGCAAAGGAGGGGTTTGGCGAATTCCCTAACGCAGCGGGTCTTCCCGGCGCCGATGGCGCCGGTGTTGTGAGGAACGCGCCCAGCGGCGCCCGTCTGGACGTTTTGCCGTGCCTGGTGGGGGAAGGAGGAGGATCGGGGGGTCTTCGAGGAGTTCGAGTTTTCTGACGTTTTCGCTGGTTCTCGGCAGTTGTCCAGCCTCGGGGTAATCTCCAGCAGCCGCAACCCGCCGAGGGCGTTTCAGTTCGCACGAGATCAAGTTGACGACCCGAGACGACGAGGATCACCCGGGTCGGACGGAAGTCACGAGCAGCGAACATAGCCAGATCCGCGCCCTCGCGGTCTGGATTCCAGGGCGGGATCCCGCAGATACGCGGTCGCACGGACACGTGCCGCGCGGGGCATCCG